GACGAGTCCCTCCCAACACCGCCCGCGCGGCCGCATTCTGGACCAGTTGAAGCCTCCCTTAGCTCAGCTTTAAATGGCTTAAAGGAGGGGAGGGTTTAAAGCATGGGGAATTCTGGGAGTTGAAGTCCACAAGCCTTCAAGTTGCCGAAGTGCTGCTGTAAGCCAATCCCAATACTTGGGGGGGGGGGCGGTGAAGATTCCTACAAGCAGCAGCATGGGCTTTCTGATTCAGGGAGAGAGCGATGGTTTCAAGGCAAAGGACCAAGGATTGCTGCCTACCAGAAGGTCTCCAGCAAAATGCAGAGTTCTTGAGCCCGGCCCAGAGCAAAGACTGGGATCAGGACCTGTAGGGAAGGCAAGCGAGCAAGCATTAACTCCAGATGGGAAACTGCAGCTCACCATCATCCCTGCTGAGAGTAGCGGAGGTACAAGGTAAGAGAGAGAGAGAGAGAGAGAGGTTAGGTCTGCTCTGCTCTACGCCAGCGTGCAACATCTCAGCCTTTCAGCCCTTCAGACTGCAGAGAGGCAGCAAAAGGACTTGTCTCAGTCATCGGATGCTCTTTCTGTTCCGTTTCTCTCTCTTCTCCAAATTGCTCTGATTCAAGGAAAGTGGGAAACTGCCCCCCCCCCCACATCCCTCGGCATGCCAGCTTCTGGCGTTCTGCCCACAGTGGAACCTTTCCATCGTTAAACGGTTCTGTCGCTAGAGCGATCCAGCGATCAAGTCTCTGCGGTCACCTACCTTTCCTCCGCGCTCAATGCTCTCGTGGACCTTCTTCAAAAAATCCCTTTCTCTACAGCGTTTGGAGTCCCTGATGGTGGTGGCGTACGTGGATTCAGAAATCATCAGGTTGGGACGGCATTTGTCAATCCAGGCAGCCCTGAAAAACAAAGCACTGAAGGTTTCAACCCCTAACATGCCAATTACTGGATTCCTTTGTTTTTCTTTAAAAAAAAAATCACCCTCTGCCAACTTGGAGTGTTATGAAACGCAATATTTTAAAAGCAATTAAGTTATGGACGTACAAGTTTTCTTTTATTACGTCCCTTCAAAATAAGTGGAATTAAATCAGTTATCCAAATCAATTCCTCCTACTGAATCCAAAGTGCTTACCCCAAATGCCTGTCTGGTGTCATGTTATAGTCACCCTAATAAAGAGAAGGAAATGAAAATATTTTTTTTATTCCAGTTACATATCATATCAAAGTTTACACTGTAGAAACAGCAAAACTCCCAAAGACAGAAACAGCAGTACTACCAAAGATAAAAATCAATAACTTAAAACAAATGTTTAAAAAGATCTAACATTTAAAAATCTGACTAAAGTGGCGTGCTTGAATTGATCTTCTAAAGAATATAGACAAATGCAACCCTGCAGGAAGTCAGGAAACGACTCGAGAGAAAATGTTCGGTAGGTGCCTAAACATAAAGGGGCTTCCTCAAAGATTCAAGTTTATAATCCGTCACCATATTAACCTCCATTTTTTCTTCTGCAATACCTTACACAGCCGCAGGAGGGCAATATTTACTCTCATCTGCACTTTGTAATGGCCAGGTATGTCCACCAGGGGCAGACTTTACCGTCCTTTGCATCTGGTTGCTTTTAAATCAGGTTAGCTGCCTTCAGCACTTGTTATAGCAGAAGGTGGAAGGGATAACTGAGACAATAAGAATAAAAATAGGGCCTCCAAAGGTAACTTTTGCTGTCTTTTGCCAATGGTAAGATATAATTTTAACTTTCAGTTCCTCAATGTTGTTAATGTCTGAGCATTCGTCACAGAACAGACATGAGATTATAAGAATATTAAGCCTCTAGAGATCAGCCTTGGGACTCCTTTGTCATGTCTTCATTTCTAGTCATGCTTCTAATGGGAGAGGCAGTTCTTTAGTGAGCTCCTAAAATACTCAGGGTTTGAACAATTAAACAATTAAATCTCATTGGTCTTTCAACTCAGGAATGACAGGATGATGGTATCGTGCCCAGATAAGCAGAGCTTCAGCTTACAACAAGGACCTCACAGAAAGCAGAGTCTGGGTTGAAAGGGACCGTGGAGTTTCATCCAGGACACTTACAGTATAAACCACCGATTCACAACCAACTTTAATCTGGAACATCGCAGCCCCAAGGACGTGGCCAGCATAATAGGCCTTAATCTCCAACTCGCTGTCCACCTAAAAACAGGATACATGACTATAAAGAGATTGAAAAACCAGTAACAACAAACCAGCATTTTGTGAAGGCTGCTTAACAATTTTTCAAGATTTTCCAATTGAGGATCTCCCAAATTCAGTCAGGACCTGACCAGACCTAACCAGTTACTGAGCCGGGTAACAGAGTCATCCCAGCTGTTTTTTCAATAGCAAATCTGGGCAGTTTGCCACCACTGTGTGAATAAGTGTCCAGTGTAAGCTATGACATCGCAAACATGTCCAAATGGCGCACATTATGTAGTGTGTCATTTGTGCCATGCTGTGATCCAGAGTGTGTCATTTCCGGTTCCTCCAGAACTAGAAATATGAGGATTTACAGTATACATTTATGCAATAAATGCTCTTTTCTGGCCTTCCGAGTGCGCTTCAAGGTGTTGATTATCATCTTTAAAGCGCGCCATGGCATTGGACCTGGTTATATCCGAGACCGCCTTCTGCCACAGACTGCTTCCCACCGGCCGATACGCTCCCACAGAGAGGCCCTCATCAGGGTGCCGTCGGCCAGACAGTGTCGGCTGGCGACCCCCAGGGCAAGGGCCTTCTCTGTCGGAGCACCCACCCTCTGGAACGAGCTGCCCCCAGAGATCCGGGTCATTCCGGATCTCCCCTCCTTCCGCCGCGCCCTTAAGACCTGGTTGTTTCAG